TAAAATTTAATACATGTCCACTAACCCCCTAGTATTTAAACTTGGCTAATAATAAATCGTGCTCTTACTTTATCGAACGCTTTAACAAAGTCCGTATAAATGTACATGGACTTTGCGTTTCATATCCTTAACAATCTTATTTGTATAGTCATTAGATTTGTTCCAAAAGTGGTGCTGGAAAACAGTGACAAATCCTGCACAGAACGCGATTCTAATAACCGTAGCAGTCGATGCCGATGACAAACAAAAAATAATACAGTATTCTATTTAAAAATATAAATTTTTATTCCTTCCCTGTATATATACAAAATATATTTTTAAAGCATGCCTTTTTCAAATTCATATAAATTTTATTTTGAAACTTGTTTCCCACAAATTAAAATGTCAAACAATTAATAATAGGCCATCCTATATATTATTATTATATCCGTGTTTTTATATGGTTTTGTTTTGTCAATTCTTTTTTTAGAGAATATTTATCCATTTTTAGAGCGAATGAACTAAACCTTCGAATATTTTCGTGAAAATTTAATTCCCATAATTGAGTTACAACATCCAATTTCCTGAGTGTGTCGTATGGCCAGCTGCTCAAGGAAAGATGAAAGGGAAGATGCATAGATAGTTTGGATTTATATTCAGAAAAAACAGAGAATAACTCTTCCTTAAATGTAGTCCAAGGAAAACTTGGTCAGTCGGTTTTAGTCTAAAGGGAATTGAGCTTCATATGGTTTAGAATATGCAAAGTTTAGATGATTACTGGTTGTAATACTAAATCACAAAAAAATACACACCGTACAAAAATTATCGCATCACGAATATTTCTAAATATTTTGGCCATGTACTTTTTTAAAAATATTTTGTTTTTTTTGTTTAATTTATATTAAACCTTTGTAATTACATAAATTATAAATAAAATTTTTCATTTTAAATCAATATGTACAGGGTAAATAAAGAATACCAAAAACGGACATAATAGAATTTATATTGCCTTCATTACAAAAATTAAATTCTTCGAAAAATGTGAAATTTTTTGAAAAATACAATTTTCTTAGTATCTTGTATTGCCTCCTTTTGCCCTTATCACAGCCTCCATTCGCCTTGGTAAGCTTTCAAACAACCTATGTATGTCTTCTTGCTCCATGTTGTTCCATATTTCGTTTATTGCATGTTGAAGCTCATTAAGGGTTCTAAATGGATCTTGACGGTTCTTAATCGCCCAACCATAGTGGTCCCATACGTGCTCTATTTATTTATTTATTTATTTATTTATTTATTTATTTATTTATTTATTTATTTATTTATTTATTTATTTATTTATTTATTTATTTATTTATTTATTTATTTATTTATTTATTTATTTATTTATTTATTTATTTATTTATTTATTTATTTATTTATTTATTTATTTATTTATTTATTTATTTATTTATTTATTTATTTACCTCCTCAAGATATTCCCGCAATATCCCGGCAGCGTGCGGTCTGGCGTTATCGTGCATTAGCACAAAATTTTCGCCAATAAAAGGGCCGTATGGAACCACATGAGGTTCTAGAATATCCCTTATGTATCGGTCAGCCGTCATCTTACCACCATTAATAGCTACTAACTCCGTTCGCCCATTGAAAGATATTCCTCCCCATACCATTATTGACCCACCTCCAAAAATTTCCCTTCAACGAAAGTTGCATTGGTAATGTCGCTCGCCTGGTCTTCGGTATACTGGCATACGTATGTCTAAAGAGAACAAACAAAATCTGGACTCGTCTGTAAAGAGTATATTGGATCATTCTTCTACACCCCATCCAGCACGGTCTCTAGCAAATTGTAAACGGCAAACTTGATGTTATCTGGTAAGATGCGGTCCATTGGCTGGAACCCTTGCACGTATATTATGCTCTCGAAGACGATTGCGTACGGTTTGTACGCAAATCTGAACATTTCGGCAGCTAAAAGGTCATTTTGGAGCATACGAGCAGTGCAGTGTCGTGTTCTTAGGGCTGAAAGTCGTAAACAACGATCATTTAGAGCTGTTGTAACTCTAGGACGACCTTGGCCCTCTCTTCTAGAGTACCGTCCAGTCTCCCTATGCCTTTGAACAACTCTTGAAATGCTACTCTGTTGTACACCGAATAAATTCGCCACGTACCTTTGACTTCGCCCATCTTCAATTAGAGCAATTACTCTGACGGTCTCTTCATCTGTCAAATGGCGAGTTAAAGGTTGTGGACCAGCCACAGTATATAACTATCGTACAACTTAATATCAAAGCAGAAATGAACAGCATAATTGCAAAGTGAAATGTATGCCTATCCCGAAAAAAGTAAACAAGAACCTTACAAAAGAAGAAACGACCAGTTTTTTGACTCGAGTTTATCATTAAAGAATGACCATTCAGGGAATACTTAAGAAATGTTAAAAATAAATTTACTGTAGCCAAAATATTTAAAAGCATTGGTGATGCAATAATTTTTGTGTGGTGTGTGTATATATACCTACAGCATAGTGCAAATGAAATGAATAAACTTTAAACCAAGCACTTAATACATGTGTAAAAATACAATAAATTACCTGTAATTCTGCAAAAATTGGTTCCTTCTGACTGTGGTCGTATCTTCCAATGATTTCGTCTGCGGCATCCTATTAAAAGTCTTTGAAGTTTTTTCAGGAGCTGTCTTCGGCCGCGACTGAGGTTGAGGGACTAACTTTCCACTGAGCTATTGGCGGAGAATTCTCGCTGATATTCCACAAAGGCGAAGGAGGAGATTTCCTGTTTTGATTCCACAAAGGAGAAGGAGGAGGCGACTTTTCTCTAGGTCGTTGCCAAAGCGGAGAAGGCGGAGATTTCTTGGCATTCCACAATGGAGATGGAGGACCATTGTCAACAGATTTCCATTTCGGCGATGATGGAGATTTTTCTCGCGAATTCCATAAAGAACCCGGCGTGGATTTCGTTTTCCACTGAGGTGAAGGTATAGGTTTACCGCTCGGATTCCATAGTGGTGAAGGAGGACTTTTTCCAGTAGATTTCCACTGCGGCGTGGTAGGAGGACTAGCGTCGCTATCTTCGATTGCATTTGACCGAGGTAAAAAGGGAGTTTTTCCAAAAAACGTTCTACTTCTTCTAATTAAACCTTTCTCAACTTTGTCTTGAAAAGCTGGCGGTGGTGATATGATAGGAGTCACAGAAGGTGATTCGGGAGGTGGAGAAGGCGAGGCACTTTTTCGATTATAGTCGGTTGATTGGAAGCTAAGCATCGAGGGTCGCTCATTAGCAGGTTCGCTATTGAAATGGTAATCGGAGAGTTTTCCGTGTGCTTTTTTAGGCGGTAACTTTGATATATCAACAGAACTGAATCGTTTACTTTCATCTAACGATCGTTGTTCCACTTGTACCCAACCCGATTTGTTTAGGTATACTCCATCCACTTCTCTGTCATGCCAACGTACCTGTAACAAATTATCAGTGTTAGAGCTAATTTAAATAATTTATTTATGCGACAAAATAAAAATTTTAAACAGCTACATAAACTTATTCACAAAGATTCTTTAAAATAGATAATTCTACAATTTTTTCACAATTCTGGGGAAATTTGTGGAGTAGATCTGGCAACACCGAACCCCATTATGGAATGGTAAGTACGGCCGATAATTAACCAGACACGTGACAAAAAAAAACGCTTCTCTAGTAGAATGTCCAGATCGATAGAACCTTTATATAGATATCGGGAAAGCGAAGGACTCAAAAGTCAACAGGGTTAGAAATTTAAATACTCGGAAAGGGTTTGCAACTCAGCTTATATAATAGGGAATTAAGTTATCTACGTCCCGTATGAGTTCGTACAATTTGTCATTAAGGTTAGACAGTCAACTTCAGGCTTCAGTGGTATCTAGTTTTTGTAACAAGGATTGTTTTTTACTTTCCTATCTGTATACAGATATAAGGAAAGTATAGGAATCATGATTTTTTTCGACCTCGAGTTTTCGACGGATTTTTACGTTTTAAGGTCCCCTGAAACCGTTTTGACTATTTTCGCGATGATGTCTGTGTGTGTCTGTGTCTGTGTGTCGCATAACTCATGAACCGATACACAGCAAAACACCAAATTTTAAACTTAAGCTTTGTTTCAGCGTCCAATGAAATGATCAGATTTTGGGCAGAGTCGGAACATCTGGGGGGGTACTTTATAGGTGGTCATTTTTATATTTTATGAAATATATCTGTTATTTACATTTTAAGAAGAAAATTCTTCAAATAAAAGTTACTCCTAATATTATTATCTATAATTTTTGTTCCATATAAAATTTTCCTAAAATGGTCCGTATTCGAGAAATTTGACAAAATGTAAAAAAAATATTTTTTTATAAAAATTGTTTAAATAAAAGTTGTTTGCAATATAATTCTCTATAATTTTTATCCTATACATAATTTCTCTAAAATGAACCGTATTCGAAAAATTTGACAAAATGTGCAAAATTCTGATTTTTATGAAAATTGTTAACTAAAAGTTGTTTGCGATATCGATCTCTATAATTTTTGTTTATAAATAATTTTTCTAAAATGGACCGTAATGGAAAAATTGTAGGGAAAGTGCTAAATTTAAATTTTTCAGTATTTTCGTTTTCAATGAATATCTATAGAAAAATGTTTCGAGATAGAAGTATGTGGAAAATGTATATATTTAGTTTATCCTCTAAAGATTTATAGAGGTGCTGCAATAGGTTGTACAAAATAACCGAAAAAGGCCTATAATAACTAGATAGGAAAGTGATGTGTTGGATACATCAGATTTTTAATATAGTTTTCTTTTTTAAAATCTTTAAATTTTCTAAATTAAAATAGTGCAAATTTTCTAACGCATGTTTAGGCTTAGATAAATCAGTGAAATTTTTATCATTATTTCAAATATTATATTTATAATTCTTTAATTTTTTGTGTAAACATTGTTTTGTATGTCCAATGTAAGTACGATAAATTTATCATTTGTTTGCCGTTTCAAACATCAGCGTTGGAGTATACGATTCATGAAGAGCGATATATCTAAAACGCTCAAATATTTTCATACGATTTATTTTCATTCGATTTAAAAGTTTTCAATCGAGTTAGGTAATACATTATGACGCCCTCTTCAATATAAATTTTAAACTAAATAAGATAAACACTATCTATAAGCAATCAGAAAATATGAATGGAACAGTAGGAGTATGAGAGTTTTCATATAATTTATAAGTTTCTTGAAATTGTCAGATTCCAAAGATTAAAAGTATTTACATATTTACCTCTCAATTTCTTTCACTGTTCAAAATTTGAGGTTCTGTATATTACTAAGGCAGCAGACTTTGTTTTTGACATTTACAAATACCATTAATGTATAACAAATTAAAAAAATTTCAAATTTTTTTACTATTTTTTTAAGAAAGTTGTTATTTCGGCACGGCCCTGTATGTTGGTATTCTCGCTTGCTGTAAATAATTACGTAATCGCGAACTCTGGTGATCGTCAGTCTCGGCGAAACGAAACAGGTATGGCGTTTCGTTTGCATTGTTATATCAACTGGAATAAATGTAACACCCTGTATATTAACAAATATATACCTTAGAATTTTAACTTACCTATAGTCTAGAGAAAAAAGGAGTACAGTAATTTAATTTGCAGAAAGTAGCACAGGTTCAAGAGGTAGACATTTTATTTATACCTCATCCTTCAATGCTTATTTGTAATAAAAATAAAATTTTTAATACATCTGATCGACTAATAAAAGTTTTCGTTTAGATTTAATTATGTTTCCATGGTTTTTACTGTAATAAACCTTTTCTTTTAACAGATAAGTCAGACTTTATTTATTCATAGCCGCATGTAATTTTTGCTTCGAACAATGGCTCTTCCATTAAAATAGCTACACACCAAATTTTATAAAAATCGAACGAAGCGTTTTTGTGTTATATAAAAAAATTGAAAATTTTCTTCCAACTTTGAAGCTTACTCACAGGCAAACGATGGACTTTATGATATAGGTAATTTTGGCTCAATCGACTTATTTTGATCTCACCAACATACAGTAGATCTATGTACATGGAATTTTGGGACACCCTGTATAAGCGATCACCTCATGTAACATTCATTTAAATGTCTAGCATCAAACGAGTGCGACCTATTATCAAGCGTTATTAAAAAAAGTAGTGTGGAAGTGGGTTTGTTAATTCCCTAATAAATAAATTACCATTTGAAATGCACATATCTGGGTATCAATATTGTGGGTCAGGTAAATTAAGCAAATAAAACACCGTAACTGAGGTAACAGTTCGTGAAGCGAATAGCCTCTGGCTAGAATCCAGAATCTTTTTTGCCACTGAATAAAATACAACAATTTTCAATTTCTTTCCCGCGAATTCTCGCAAAACAATAAGATGTTATAAGCTGACGTTTAATTACAAATATTATGTAAATTAATAGATTAAGGACAGGGTTCACAAATATTAAAGTTTATGTTAGATTTAAATAAACACGTTAAAGAAAGGTACATTTTTAAATTCAACATCAGTGAAGGTACATACAAAATCCAGAAGTCATTTGTTACACAAACCGTACATAGCCCATTTCCTCATAATATTAAGCATTTCTGGACATTCATAAAGAATCTAAAACGTGATAACGGTCTCCCAAATCTAATGTTATACAACAATATTGAATTTACTAATCCTAACGAAATAGCCAATGCTTTTGCACATCAAATCCAATCTTGCTACAATACTATCAACGTCGCAAATTCCGCACATTCCTCTCCAGTAACTTTTGCCTCAACTTTAAGTACTCATACCTTTACTCCCCAGAAAGTTATTTCTAAAATTAACAGTCTTGATATCAATAAAAGTGCGGGATTTTGTTGAGGAAATGCTGTGATGCGTTATCTGTTCCCCTTAGTCAAATTTTCAAAAAAACCTTTTTTTCAGGGTAGTTTTCCAGATAAATGGAAATTTTCCAGTCTAATTATAATTCTGAAGTCGAGTGATAAATCTAATATAAAAAACTATAGGGGTATATCTATTATATCCACAATTCCCAAATTATTTGAATCAATTCTTACTAATGAAGCAGCTGCTTCTTCAAATCTTATATCTCCCCCTTTCAGCATGGTTTTTATCAGGGGCGTTCTACCGCTACTAACCTTTGTTGTTTCCAGGAATATCTATTAACCTCTATGGAAGCTGGGCACCAGGTGGATGCAATTTACACCGATTTGTTGAAGACCTTTGATAGTGTTTCTCATCAACTGCTTTTAAAAAAATTCTCCGAAATAGGTATTGCTGGTAACTATCTCAATTGGATAAAATCTTATCTAACTAATCGCTTCCAACAAGTTTCTATTCATAATTTTACATCACGGAAAGAATCAGTTTCATTAGGCGTTCCGCAAGGCTCACACCTTGTCTTCTATATGCAGATGACTTGAAATTTTTCAGCACAGTCAAACATAACACTACTACTCTTCAAAATGATCTAGAGAGACTAAACGAGTGGTGCAAGGTGAACCATCTCTCATTAAATACCAGTAAATGCAAGACCATCCAGTTCACAAAAGCGTTAACCCCTTCTCTAAATCAATATAAAATCGGTAATACTGTACTGCAAAATGTCACATCTGTGAATGATAGGGGTGATATTTAATATGGAACTGTCCTTTCGAGAACATATTGATTTCATTATTTGTAAAGCTTTCCGGATGCTAGGCTTTATTAAAAGAAATACTCAACATATGTATGATACTAAAGCAACCTTAACATTATTTAACAGCCTTGTTAGAAGCATTCTTGAATATTGCTCTGTCGAATGGCATCCTAATTACACCTGCCACATAGAGAGGATAAAACGATTTCAGCGTAAATTCACTATTTGGTGTTTAAACACCACTTTCCTTACCAAAACGTTGGTTACGAAAGTAGACTGCTTTTATGTGGTATGTAATCAGAAAAAGACATGCACTAGTTCTGTTTCTATTTAAATTAATTAACGGTAAGATTGACTGTAGCGCCCTTTTACAATTAATTAGCTTTTTGGTACCTACTCGACGTACACGTTATACTTCATTGTTTTCATCAAAAGACATAGAACCAACTATGAACAAAGAGCATTTATTGACCGTATGTGCCACATTTACAATAAGCTTTACTCCGACTGTGAACTATTTAACACAACGTTGTATGCGCTAAAGAGTAATTTGAAACTTTCAAAATTATTTTTTTTGTTTTTTTTTTTGAGCTTTAATAGTTAAACCTATTTCTATGTATGTGATATTTTTGTGTAGGTATTCTACATACATGTATTTATTGTAATTTTTTTTAATTCAATTTATCATTTAGAAAAATAATTCTAGAGTGTACCTATTTAAATAAATAAAATAAATAAAAATAAATTACAGGAAGAAAACTCAGTACAAGACGTGGAAAGTACG